GTATCCTGGCCTAATCCCATCAAAGTCCGCTATTCGCTGGCAAAGGCCACCTTCAAGGTCGCAGGATTCAATTTCACATAATATGAGACATCGCGAGATCCAAAGCGGCTTTTTACCGTCGACATAATGGACATTGTTGCACTCGGCTCTCTTGGGCTGCCCACTTTTCCGATTACGCGCTTTACGTAATAGACGCGCCGGGAGGCGGTCGAGGAGAGAGAAGGATTTCGCGCGGAATTCCCCGCGGACTTTTGGAAATCGCGGCGGCGGGATGACCTGGTTTCGCACCGCGTATCAATCTCTTTACGGGGGACCGGTGTAATTTCGCGTGACTCGCTTGGGAGGGGAAAAAAAAACAATTTTTTTTTTCCCTTCTCGAAAACCTTTCCCTGTAATCTGAGCTTCTCCCACTACGCGCCGATGCGAGTTGGCAGCGCTCACGCACGAGGCTCGCGATGAATTGTTTTTTATTTGTGTTTTCGCGTTGATTCCAGGGGAAAGATAAGATTTCAGCGAAATGGAATCGCGTGCGCCTTTGGAAAGCACTTTGGTTTTTTTTCTTTCTTCTTTTATCATATGTCCCAATAACTCAATTGAGCAGGTTTTAATCACATTTTAACGCCCTTCCGAGAAATCCCGCATAATTAGGTGTATAAGGATCTTGCGATCTATTTTAATTCGTCTTATCTCTTATTTTCTTTTTATAGCCTCCGCCGTTAACTAGCGATGAATCGGTTGATGGCTTGTTATTGCCTTTTTCTTTTCCAACCTTCAAATGAAAAATGCTTTTTACTTTCAGGATCTTTTTTTTTCCTCGTTTCCTTCAGATCGCGTGGCTTTTCCTGCTGCCCGTGAAATGAAACGAGCCTAAAGTCGCGCTAAAAATCGTTTGTGTACAAACGATTAACAAAACCTTGGGAGTGTCATTTTATATACGAATAACTTGTTTTACACGTTACTCCGAGGTGCAACAGACGCGTTGACGATTATATTACTCGCGTTTTATGGTTTTGAGTGCTATTCCGTTTAAGGGATAGGTGGATGAGTGCAGCTGTTCAACTGTTAAACAAATCGTTACAGGTACTTTGGGTGTACAATATTATTTATTGTTGAATGATACATTGTTTAGTTGAAGTTGAAAAAAAGATGATTTATTGTAAGGCTGTCGATTAGGTATCTCGGAAGAAATGAACAAACCTCAATGGAAACAACGTGGAGAAACCGATCCAGTAGAACATCATATAGATTAGTATAGAAAAAGTAAAAAAAAAAAAATAAAAAAATAAAAAAAAAAGAGTTTCATCATACGCGTACAATTAAGTTTCCGTGTAACGAGAATGTTTTTTCTTCCATCGATACTCTATACTTTTACCGCACAATGCCGTCTACTCTCAGCCAAAGTACACCTATGAGGCTGGAGTAGCGCGTTGCCCGCGAAGGATACGATAAATTTAAATTAAAAAGAAATTGAAAAACACTCAAAAACGTGTTCCCGCCGCGGCAGGCACTGCGGCTTATCTTAGCTGCAGCTGCTAGCTTGCGTATCTTTCATTTCAGCACGGAACACCGCAAAGTATATAGAGAAAGAAAAAAAAAAAAAAAGAAAAAAATGTTACACGCTCTGGGCCTTTATCGACCAGACAATCGCGTGGCCGGAGCTTAAATGAAAACGCGCTTCATTCACACACATAATGTTATCCAAAGCGAAACTCGACGAGAAGGAAAAGAAGAGAGTGGACGGGGATGAGCAAAAAAAAGGAGAAAACGAGAGCAGTCGCGCGAAAAAGGCGAGAAAAGCGACGAGACGATCCTTACGCTACCGTGGAATCGAAGTGCTGATGGTTTCACGTTTGCGAAATTTACGTATACGTTACGCGTATACCTCAGGGGAGTGCTTATCAAGGGGAGATAACAAACTCGAGGAGGGACCGAAAAGTCGCAGGAACGCCCGAAATTTCGGCGCAGTTGAGCGATATGAAATTCTTTCCTTTTTTTTTTTTTTTTTTTTTTAAAGGAAAAAAAAAACTGAAATACACCAGTTTTAGATTATAAAAACCATGGAATGGAAAAGCATTACCTACGCGCGTGAAGAATAAGCTGGTGTTCCTCCCTCCCCCTCCTTCCATCTAAACGAGGACCGGTGGGATGAGTACACGTATTTTTCAGCTCAGCGCGCTACGATCTTTTTCTCACGGGGATGCGAGCGCATGGGATCATCGTAATTTTATTCAAGGTGTACTTAACGTGATTTCACAGGGATAAATCAAGCTCTCGCGCGTTAATCGGATGACGAAAGGCGCATTCGGTTCATTTAACGACGATAAGCCACCAACACCTTGGGGCAAAAAAAATCGTTATCTCGAATTCCTTGGAAAGAAAGCGGTGCCTCGGACATGTCATTACTGCTACACCGTTTTGTGATAAAGCGCATTCTCAATATGCAAACGATCGCTCGAACTCGTGCCCATACTGTTGTCACCGTGTTAAATAACCCAGAGATACATATATACACTAATTTCGTTACGTCAAGCGCCAGGAGCGTTTCCAAACCGTTGGAAATCAATATTATTTGGGGAGATAACGCTTGATTTCTCTTACCTATGAGGCTCCGACACACCCGAGTAGAGCGGGTATTATAGCCCGTGAAAAAACTCGAGAGAAAGAGATCCAAAGTGCGTGTATATACATGGTACAATGCTCGTTTTACGCTCCGGTGGACGAAAGAAACAATGAGGCCGGATAAGCCAGCCCCGAAAAATGGCAGTGCGTACACCCGAAAAACCGCTACTTTCGTAGAGCGATACCGCAGAACCGCGTCCGCGATGTGTACGTATACTCTCGCGTATCGGAAGTAAAAGGGACACTGATCGACGACGATTGAAAAAGCATCGGTCACCGCAGCCCCGCACAATGGAGGAGGTGATAGCAGTACAGGTAGCCGGGGAGCCCCAACTTGTCACTCCACGCGGTTATTATATGTATACCTGTATACGTTTCGATTAGGATGGGTGGGAAGTGAGAGAGAGATTGGCTCGACTGTATCCGCGAGAGCCGCTGATTTATTCCGAGTCGCGTGTCGCGAGAAACTTGCTTGCGGCGTGCCTTTTTTTCTATAATACATATACCTACGTATACGTTCGCGTCTATACCGCAGACAAATTTCTTCTCGGGTTTTTTCTTTTCTTTTTTTTTTTCCCTCTCGACACCACCGTCGCTCTCTGCTGCAGCTGGTGCTATACAGAAGCAGACACTGGGCCCGTTATTTACGATTTTGATTGTATTTTATTGGTTTATTGTGCGGGATTTACGCAGCTGAAAGTGCACGCACTCGGACGACCAGGAAAATATCAAAATTACAACTCTCTGCGTTTCATCGCCACGTTAAATGAGATTTCTTATTGTTATTATCGTCGTCGTCATTATTATTCGGATCTTTTTTTTTTTTTTTTTTTTCGTGCGTATAAACAAGTTGTTTATTCGCGCGATAGTGGAGAAAAAAGGGGACCGAGTGGTATATACCTTTCGGTGTATCCTTAAACTCGAGATATAAACCAGAGTGGATTCCCCAAGATTGTATAGGTACAACGCGCGGATGGCTTCTTTAGTTGGGTAATTACGATATCGCCTCTTGTGTTTATTTCATTGCGGTGCCCGTGTACACACTTACGTTGTTTTACTCTTTCGAGAGTATCCGTGTTGATTATTGACGCTCTTGCGAAATGTAATTTCCAACTGTAAATTGAGCAAACAGGAGCACATTTATGGAAATTTCTTTTTTTTTTTCCTTGTTTTGAACACGGTTGGATTTTAGGGTCAAATATTTGGACTGTACCGAACCACCCTCTGGATCAAGCTGGATCTCTTGGCCTCCAGTGCGCGTATTTCTATATTATTTTTTTCGGGCGCAGCTTCAAATGAAAATCTGTATCATCGTGGGTACGTATGTGTGGTCCAAAAATTTCTTGATTGATCGAAACGTGCTGCGTCGAGACGTTCATTAACTCGTCGCGCTTAATAAAATGAAATCAGAGGACATCGCTTGCTTGATATGAATATTCCTTTTTTTTTTTTCATTCCTTTTTTTGGCATATTAAAAAAAAATACTGGCATTTTTTTTCTATTATCTCTGAATCATTATCCGTACAGTAAAAAAAAAAGTTTGAAGATATCTTAACGTGGAGAGGAGAAAAAATTTTTTTTGTCAGTTTTACGTGTGCGTAGAATTGATTTAAAATAAGCGCAAAATAAATAAAGTTTCCAAGGCCACGCCGTTTTGCATCGACGGTACCTTCTTATATCCATTTGCACGGAATAAAGTTTTTGTAAAGCATCGACAAACAAAAGGTACAGAATTTCGTAGAGAATGTGTTTAAGCAAAGGAAACCAATTTTGTCATTTTTTTTCGTCAAATTTTCTGTCTCCTGATAACAGGTACGAAAACTGTGATGATGTAGTAAAAAGTTTGTGATTTGTATGAGCACATGGTTGGTAATAACAAATCTCAACCTCAGTCATTACACCCGGTTCATCGGCAACGGAGAGGCAGAAATTCCGCACATTTTTCATAATGTCCATTATCATCACCAGCAACACAGAGAAAAAAAAGATATCCCACGAACAATAAATGCCCCTTCTGAAGCACACCAGAACGACGAAAGAGCAGAAGAAAAAGTAGCCACACGCACAAGCAGCGAGACAAGTCCTTTCACTCTCTCCGCGGCTCGCGAGAGCGCAAATCTGACATAATCGCGAGACTCATTTGCTCTCGCACACATTGTACGTTACAACACATGGACCGACAACTGTAATCGCCAATGTACGACGCGCAGTGTGTGTATCGCACCCCAAACTTCGAATTTTTACGAGCGAGCATCAAGTAAAAGAAAAAAAAAGTCAACCGATTACTCGAAGTAACTACGTCGCGCGCACAAGTACAAAAGCGACAGCTCGCGATACATACTTTGTGCAGTAGTAGAAATATAAAAAGGAGCCTCGCTTACCTCCGGACAGACGAGTCGTTGCGAGCGAGCTATGTATGTTTTTTTTTTTTTCTATCCAAAGCCCCCCTGCTGTGGCTCCTTCTCGAGTGACAGCTGGTCAACCGATCACCGATCAAGCTATATACTCGACGCAGCACTGGTCAGTACATTCCCCCCGGCACGTATCCTCTGGATCCTCCTGCCAAGCGCCCCAACCCCCGTGCGTACGACACTGGCCAACCCCCTTTTTTAAGAAGGAAAAGCTCGCAGTGTCAAACGGGTGAGAGGACTTTTTTTTCCTTCTTCTGTAACTTCGATTTCACCAGAAACCGGTAAACAAAAGAGCAAACGGTACTTTTTGAAAATACCGATACTTCTAAAAAGTAAGTCAAGGGGTATAGGGGTCCGACCGTCGGGTGCTGCTTATCACGCACTCGCGCGTTAATCTGTCGCGGGCTGAAGTCGAGTTAGGACTGTAGCAGGCGAGTCCCGAAGCCGGCCGACGTCTCTCCTCCTCCTCTGGCGTCTCTGCCCCTCTTTCCTCGTCGCCACGTGAGTGCTCCTCGCCGCTGGTGTGTCTCTCTATGGCGCGAGCTCCCGTCGTCTTCGCGCTGTACTCGCGTCCCTGTATGTCTGTCCGACTGTCTGCCGTTTCTGTCTGTCCCCACCACCCCGCAGCTCGTCGGGGGAAAAAAAAAGATCGGCGCTGGAGTAGGTATATCGCGTGGGGCTCGATCGCGCGTGCAGAGGTGCGCGAACGCCCGAGAGAGAGGTTGGCTACCGCGCTTATGGCTGACGTGGAGGACGCTGAGCTTGCAAGCTCCGAGCTTTCGGTGGGACTAACTCGGGAAAATCGGTTGTGATTACACTTATCTTCTTTTTTTCTCTAATAGGACTCCAACGTGACAAAGCGTGCAGAGATACAAAGGACTTTGACAATCGCAATTGTTTTTTTGTCTCGAGCACACCACCACGAGTCGGACAATAGAATTTCCAATGGATTTTTTGCATCCTCGGTCAACTGAATCCGAGCTGTAGAGCTCCAGCGAACGTTACGCTGCCGATTCTCTGTTATACACAATTACAGACAAGTGTGTGTGTGTGTGTATATATATATATATATATATATATATATATATATATATATATATATATATATATATATATATATATATATATATATATATATATATATATATNAGCTGCAATAATTATTCATTGTCATTGTCGAGCGAAAGAGAAAAAACAAAAACATCTCATTTATAACGGGCTTACAGATTTCTCAACCGATTCACCGGCAAACAAGACGTTGGATTCAATAGTGGCGGAAAATTGTATTACAGGGCCATTATATTATTCAGATGAAGCAATCGATAGCACCGAGTCAAATTTCAACCGGCACTATTTTCCCATTCCCAGTGAACAAATTATTTGCTCCCAGTAAAAAAAAGCGCAACAATTAGCCGCGTTCAACTCTCCCGAGCACTTGGACAATGTTTCAAGTCGACGTTATCGCGACATAAATTCTACAAATACCGCGTACATTCTCGGCCTGTCTCGATCCAATTTTAATTCAATTATATAACTCGTATCTCGATTAACGAAATCTTATCGGCCGGTGGCATCTCAGCAAAACCACGAATAAATTCAACTTGCGTGTATACCTACACCTCGTCGATGATTCTCCTGGAGCCGCGAAACCGTAAAATCGAGCCATCATCGTTCAATTTTACTCGTGTCAAGCCGTAGTTCGAAGAGCAAGAAAAAGAAATCGGCAATTGCTCACACACATGGAAGAACGTATTAACGAACATAAGCAAGCCTATTGGGTAGGAGGAGGAGGAGTGGCGGAGAAGTCCTTTGAAAAGAGCCGGAGATTGCAGTAATCCGAGTCGACCTTGCCAGGCCCAATCGTCATTGTGGAAGCTGCTGCATCGGCTGCGACGATTCCCCATCGAGAGGAGAACAATTATGCATCGGCGGCGCGTGAGGCGCAAACTCGGCGCGTCGATTAAACACGATTGGGCGTCGTCCGAGCGCTTATCTCTCTCCCTCTCTCTGTCGGTCAAGGCTTTCGTTTTTTTCGCGCTCTTATACGTGCGTGGAAGAAGAAGGTCGACCGGCCGAATGTGTGGAAGCGGTTCGGAGATCGTCTGCCGGTCATCTTCGTTTTGAGGAATGGATATGATACATACATGTATTTTTTCAAGCAAAAGAACCGCCCTATCTGGCTGGGTTGTATTCAAATGAAAGATAACAATTGGGACTCGTTGAGCATCTGACGAATCGATGCTGTATCGAACAAACGCAATCACATTGATTGCCCATCGAGAAAATCCGATCAGTTTTCTATGGACCAAAGGAAAAGGCCGATCTCGTTGATCGATTTATCCCATGGTAATAACGTCCATGTATATAATAATAATAATCTAAACAGCGTACACATCATCATCGAACGAAATAGAGAAAGAGACAGCGCATTTGCTCGTAGTGGTGCAGCTATTACGTATAAATATTGTACATATGGTGTATACGCAGAGACTATTAACGAGTATGGATTTAAAGGGGTAATTGATCGCGATAGACTTTGTGCACTTTGTACCACGCGGAAAGGTATGCCAGCACACAATATCACGAAAGCACGAAAAAGAAAGGGGGAAAAAAAAAAAATTCTCTTATCGGATGAAAAATGATGAATGCGTTTGTCTCGTATACACACCTGGCCCCACCTGTAAATGTTATACACACCGTACGGATACCGATCTGCGCGGCGGCGAAAAAATTCCGGCTCACGTGTATCGCAACGCTTGCAACTTTTTTTTAGATATACGTATAAAGACACCATTAGCTAATTGAAACGGAAAGTAAAGAACCCTGTTATGTCATTTTTTTACCTATCGGCGCATACCCCCGATACATTTACGCAAAAAGCATTATTGCTCCGTGAAATTGTTATCGATATCATGCCGTGACTTTCTGGGTCTGTGGAGCAGAGCATCCGCTACGAGCGTCTCATTAGATACGAGTATACATATATGTACACGAGTAAGCTCCACCAGGGTGGGCGGAGGGAGCTGAAAGGGGATACCCAGAAAAAGACGCTGGAAGAGCTGCTAACTCGAAGTATTGATGATAAAAGAGGCTCGTTCTCCTCCTTCTCCGATTGATCGAAATTGGCGAAACAGAGAAACGTGGGCTGAGAGTGGAAACTCTGGATGGACATACCAAACCCGAGCCGATCGGAGCCCTGTAGGATATACATATATTCCATGCATAGCTCGCCATCTTCATCAGAAGAAGAAGAAGGACTCTTTTGCACTTTGATGTGAAAATGGCTTAATTCATACGGGGGGAAAGGGGTCATTTGTTTATTCGTGTCAATGTAGCATCGATTGGCTGATCTATACGCACCAATAGATCCATCAGTGGCTTAATTCTTGGGATATTTTTACCAAACGATTAGCCTTCTGAGCTAGTTTAATCCCTCTCATAGCCGTCGATTGAAAAGGAGAAGAAAAAAAAAACAACCACAATTGTTTTTCTTCCCACGTTTATATTGATACGGTGTTCTATTTAGAGCTCGCGTGTGCTCGTTGGCCTGGTGAACTTAAAATCTGCATACGAGACAAATTATATATTGATGTGGTGGTGGGAGAGTGTGTCTTTGTGTCAGTTACGTATAGTGGGTACATATAGCCAATGTCAAATGGCGGAGGCAACGAAAAAAGGATTGCGCAATCGATCGGTTGAATTTCATGATTTGCATGTACGGACGGTTGAGTGTAATTTCGTACAAGTGGTTGCGGGATGGACGGGCGTTGGTGACAGCGCGTGGGCGCACACATGAAATACACCCCAAATAGGTGGGATTGAAATTTTAAACAATTTACTTTAATATTTACAATACTTTTGTCCATTTGCATCGAGGGGGAAAAAATAGCGTGCCTTTTTTCAAACAAAACTAATGGTAACATTTTTTTTTTTTTTCTTTTTCAAACAATCAAGTAAATATACATATAAAGATACAATAGCAACAACGTGTGGCTGAAAATATCGGCGACCTTGGCCATACATCAAAGATTCAATTAAATTCCATCGATGTTTCATTAGGATGAGTAACTCTCATCGGTATAGTACGACGGTACGTCTCGTTCACAGCCCAAAATCAGCTATCCCTTGACTTTGCCTGTATCTATATACAAACAATATATATGTGTGTTTCCTATACGTGTGACATGTGCACTTCTGTATGTCTCTACCTCCTTCTATTGATCTGATTTTTCGTTTGTCCAATAAACATACACATAGTATCTTAATTCCGTGAGAAATCCATGGATATACATCACCCCAATGAATCGGGTACCCCTAAATCGAATAAAAAAAATATTCGAAAACCCCTCGTTTAATCAAACGATATTTGAAAGCTGCGCAGATTTGCCCGTACGATTCTCCAATCACTGCAGCGAGCCAGCGAGACGCGAGAGCTGACCCTTGCAAACGAGACCCTGCGTTTAAATTGGCTCCTCTGTTTCTCCTCGCCGCTCTATCATCATGCGATCGAAAAACGAGATGGGACACCTACAGCACTTTGCCATTGACACCCGTGATTTACGCGGGATGAGGTTGTAAGTATATCCGAACCGGCCTTTACGACGATTCATCCAATCTCATGGAAAAAACGCATGTATTCAAGTTCGACGTTCGTAACGTCATCCATAAGTACCAGCCATCCTCGATGATGTCGAGTACGACTGACCTATTTTCTTTCATACTCCTACGCAAATGTACATGTAAGCTCGGCGAGTTTCGCCCGCAGCTAACACCAAACAATGACCACAATCGCACATCTAGGACGAATCGTATGTACAGCCCGCGATTGGCATTGACGGCACAGTTGTAATAAGTACTCAAAGCTGACGGGCTTTTAGGTCTCGGCACTAGGTCGTGTAGGTCGAAGGAGCAAAAAAATGTCACACGCCAGCTCACTCGTATCGGTAGACGTGGTAACGAAGAAAGCCGATCGATCACACACGAGGAGGAAAAGAATCGCGACGACAGATCCAGAGAGAGAGAGAGAGAAAAAGGGAGGTACGTATATACAGTCGTTAACGGTACCAATTAACGAATATCGCCTATTAAAGGATTTTTCAAGTCTAGGTCGTCCTCGTCATCCGGCTACACAGCCATCCGTTAAAAAAGAAACGAGTAAGTACTCACTCGAGGCCTTTCTCTCCGCACCGTATACCTGTTATCGCTCTCGTCATTCAAAAAGAAAAATGTATCAGCCGAACCGAGCCCACCGACATGATATATGTGCGCATGACCGAGAAGTCTATCCGCGATTGATACAAGTATATAATATGTACCTATACAAAGGGAGACCGACGGAGAAAAGTGGATCGTCATCTCAAACAGCTCCGCACCATCCATCATCGAGTCGGTGCATACGATTGACAACATTCACGTGACGCGCGAAAATTCTCGCATTTGTATAGGTACACGTATATATTATGTTACGTAACACTTGAACCGCTGCACATACCGCGAGAGCCATAGAGCGGTTTTCGCCCCGACGACGCAAATTTGCGGATGTGG